TATGCTGGCTGTGCTAACTGCTTTAATGTGAGTTAATCTTGCTTAATAAGTAAACACTGTATAAATAGTTTTATTCAATTGTTTAGGTGCATTGCCAGTGTAACAGGTGAAAGAACTCATCATCTGTATTATATCATCATCTCTGTATGTTGATTATTTAATAGGACAATTACAGAATAGCGTCCAATGTCAACCTTCGACATGTGGCACTCGAGCAACACCGTGTTCAACTAACTCTGACTGCGAATGTCTGGCACTTAGTTCACGCGTCGATGGTATATGCGCTGCTACGTTACTCTCTTGCTCGAATCTGACACCTTGTTTGAGTGATAACGTGACGTGCACAGTGCCTTGTACTATCTGCGTTGTCAGCACTCGCTGTACCAAGCCAATGTGTTATCCACTTGCACTCACCGTCCCTGAGGTGTGTCCACCGCTAAATTCAAGTGTAACAACATCAACGGTTACTATACCTGCAGGTAATTGTCAGTGAATTGTTTCTATTAGTGAGGGATAACATACGTATTTGGGTGCGATAGAGATTTCTTAGCCTGAGAGACCGAAAATCTGCGAGGGTTGTAAGGCGAAGAAACGAATTTTTTTATTCCTGCTGTTGAAAAATGATAAATTTCTCAAAATTAGGGTTGTTCTTCATAGAACACGAAAGCTGAATAATGCAACACCATCGAAAACCATTGATGATACTGCTCTATTCATCTTACGAGTCAGATGCACACCTATCTGGGCTCCTAAAAGCCACATCGAGAAGTGAAATTTCTATGGATCTTCAGGGTAGCGGTCGCTTTGCATCCGTGGTAGGTATGATGAGATTGTGCTCTTGAAGGTACCATTGAGCAATAGAACTACTCAGGGATTATTGTAATTCTTTTATGAAAGATCCTTCTGAATTTCTTGGAAACTGTTATTCTTGAAACAAACTGACGAGTATTTACACCACAGACATCTCTGCTGAAGAAAATTTTTATGCTTTCAATATTTAAACTTTGAACTTGTGCACCATAGCAATAACAACACGACCAACAACAATAACAACAACACGATCAATAACACAACCATCAACAATACAACCAACAACAACAAATCCAACAACAACACAACCAACAGCAACACAACCAACAACGACACAACCAACAACACAACCATCAACAATACAACCAACAACAACAAAACCAACAACAACGCAACCAACAACAATACAACCAACAACGACACAACCAACAACACAACTAATAACAACAACAGCAATCCGTGAGTAGGCCATATATGAAGTATTCCACCAGAAGTTATATAGATTTACATGGTTTTCTTCGTAACTTCATGCAGTCGAAATTTTTCAGGACTCTTATGTGATGCAATTTCTGATGATTGCCATTAAAAATATTTTCTCCAAAACAATCGTGGCTTTTGAGTGGGTCTCTAAACAACCTTCACTTTTTCGAAAGCAAAGTGAGCATCTGGACTACGGAGAAAAGCGTATTCGGTGCTTTTATATTTTTAAATCAAAAACCTATATTTTTGTATTTTATTCTATGTTACTGAATTTTCAAGTGCTTTGAGATACCCCAAAAATTCAGAATGTTTTCAAGTCTTTTTCGTCTTTCTTGATGCGAAAATTGGAAATAGACATCGGGTTCTTATAGAAATAATCTTTACTTCGTAGATCCGTCTATCGGATTCTTGCCACTTTTGAAAATTAGGCAGGGCGGAAGCGATGCACTCTAGTATTTTGAATACTGACGAAGCTCACTAAGTACACTTGAAGTACGGGGAACACGACGTTCAGCGAGTGCAAGAATATAGAAAGTACGTCGTTTCTCCTTGGCCAATACAGTTTGGAGTGATGGAGGTCACTAAATGACGCGTACAGAACAAACTTCTCATAGAAACATGTCACGATGCTAGCGGAGGGCGAGATAGTTTTTTATTCTGCAGTCCGTCGGTAGTAGGGATTGAGCCACATGCATATAGAATAACTTCAAACAAACCGAGTAGCCAGAAAGATCAAATGACCACTTTTCTACTGTCCTTAGAAACCATTTAAATAGAACCTGTTTGGTTTTGAATCCTACACCAAAACCAAGCGATCAGGACAGTGAATAGACTAGCCATTGATTAGACTCGATCGGATTGATCCTTCGTGCATGTAAAACTCTTTCCTCAAATCTACACCGCGACGAACGGTGAAATAAAATTTCGCTTGACATTGCTTGATCGCTTGCAGACCAGCAAGTCTCGCTAGCGGGAAAAAGCGAATCCTGGACTCCCTAATCCTACGGGATCTTACCAGATCCTGCAAGATCTTAATAAGTCTCTGAATCTTTGTAGATCCTAACCAACCTCTTCAAAACTTTCTGAAAACCATAGATACCCTGCCAAACCCTCCCTCCACCTCGAATATCTCTATTCTGACACTCCCTCCCCATATTCATGCCCAAATTCTACCAATCTCATTTGGATGCCGTCCAAATACAATCGTGAGGTTTAGTGCTTAGATTTATATTGCACTGCACAAGAGTAATATGCATTATCAATATTAATTGATTTCATCTCTCCAATATGTGCCTGAAAAAATAGCAATACATATCTACGGAGTTCTCGTTTTTATATGGTTTCATACGGACCCAGGTGATCGACTCAGAGTTAAAAACACAGCCGATTATTGTGAACCTCTTCGAACTTCTCAAAATCCTGGAAATCCATGAAAACCATTCAGAGCCTATGGCACCTCCCTAAAATCCATCGAAACATATGAAAACCCCAAATAGACTCCAGAAACCTATAAGCAATTCTGGAAAACTCATCCAAGCCACTACAAACGTTTAGAAACCCAATCAACACATGATGTGTCTCGAATCTCGCAGGTATTCTGTTTTTCCCAAAGATTTTCATGGTTTGCAGAGGTCCGCAATGCGTCCATAGATATCTCACGATTTCCGAGGCCTTTTATAGGCTTCTAGGAGCCTTCGAAAGTTCCTAAGAGTTGTCATGAGCATACACCCAAAAAAAGGTGTTTTGAAAGGTTTCGAATTTTGCAACGAAATCAAAACCTTTTTGAAGTATTGTAAACATCTGCGAAACCTTCGAAAAGTTTCGTAAAACCGTACGATACCTGAAAAAGGTTTCGTAGTTCGCACAAAACCTAAAAAGAGGTTTCGATTTCGTTACAAAATTGGAAAGTATTTTTAAGTTTCGTATCGTACCAATTTGTTTTTCAGAGTATATAGATATCCAACGATCTTTATGAATTCGAGAAGCTGCCCAAAACATCTGAAGCATTTTTATGCATTTACCGGGTCTCGAAGGCTTTTATGGATACTTGGAAGTTCGTAGGACTTTTTCTTGGGCTTTTGGTGGGCTTCAAGGGTTCATAGGTATTTCCCATAGGTATTTAAAGGTTTCTGAAGTCCCTTGTGATTTCCAAGGATTTCCATGGATTTCGAGAGCTTTCAGAAAGTGCAGTAGGTTTCCAATATCTTTTATGCGTTCCAAAAGTTTTGAAGGAGTTCCGAGCAGTTCTCAGGAATACGCTGTGTTTTTTTAGAATATTTCAGACGAGGCGCGGATTCCATACAGTACCCAAGATTAACGCAAAGTTTCGGACACATTGAAAATCAGGTCAGTCTTTTCTATTATTCCTACTTAAGATACAAAGATACTCAGGAAGATGAGAGCCATGAATCCCGATCTTCTCCCTGAATTTGTGCATACGTATGCTCAAGGTTTCAGGTCGAAATTCGACAACCAGTATTTCTGATGTTCCAAAAAAAAGTTATGCTATCGAGAAGAAAAGTACCATGAAAATGCAGTATTCCGACGAGAACAAAACTAACAGCCTCCAGTTTTCGCACATTATTCAAAGCTCGTCATGATGAATATGATGCACATATTTTCGACTTGAAAGTGCTGCATCACTTGGGAACGTTTCCTCGTTGGTCACGTGACGTAAAGATTCTCAATAAAGACTATAAAACCTGAATGTGTTCTGATGTATTTCGAATATTCTGATGGGTCCTCGTGAATCTTACTTGACCCAGTATGATCTACTTTGTCTCCCTACACAATCACTATCCACTGAAAAGTCATGAGCATCAATCCTATAGCAGCCTTAGAAGCCTCACGAGCCCCAGTAATCTTATCTACAAGACGCCGAAGACCTATATAGAGTGAGACACATCCTCATCACTCACTTCGAACTGAACTCATCTTAATTCCGCCCATCACAATTCTTGCTTCGACCATTCTTAAAATCATTACATATCCACACGGATTCATATGTTTAGCACTGACCTGTTTTGACAATATACAAAATGGACTTGAAACTGGCGTCGATTGTGGTGGACCTTGTCCTTTGAAATGTGACTCACAGTCCTGCTCATTCAGTACGGAGTGCAAAAGCAGTGTTTGTGGCTGGTGGCAATCTTGCCAAGGTAGGAAGCTAGAAAAAGATGTGTCTTATATCTAATGGCGATTATAGCCGCTACTTGCAACGATGGTGTTCGAAACGGTGGAGAAATTGGCATTGACTGTGATGGTCCTTGTGTGAAACGATGCAATGGTCGAGCATGTGGTTTACCTGATCATTGTTGGAGTGGTGTCTGTGGAACTAATCAAACTTGCTCAGGTACATGATTCGAGTGAGCGGTTTCTGAATTTTGACTCTTCTCTCTAGTACCCACATGTTCTGACAATATACAAAATGGACTCGAAACTGGTGTCGACTGTGGTGGGCCTTGCCCTCTGAAGTGTGACTCACAATCCTGCACACTCGACACTGAGTGCAAAAGCGTTGTTTGTGCGGGGCAATCTTGTCAAGGTAGGAAGCTAGAAAAGAATGTTTTTCCTATACCGAATGGAGATTGTAGCGGCTACTTGTAACGATGGTGTTCGAAATGGTGGAGAAATTGGCATTGACTGTGATGGTCCTTGTGTGAAACGATGCAATGGTCGCGCATGTAGTTCACCTGATCATTGTTGGAGTGGCGTCTGTGGAACTAATCAAACTTGCTCAGGTAAACAATTCTAGTGAGAGATTTCTGAGTCTAGACCCTTTCCTTTAGTACCAACTTGTTTTGACAATATACAAAATGGACTCGAAACTGGTGTCGATTGTGGTTGGGTTTGTCCTCTGCGATGTGACTCACAGTTCTGCACATTTGACACTGACTGCAAAAGCGGTGTTTGTGCATGGCAATCTTGTCAAGGTAGGAAACTAGAAAAGAATGGTCTTCCTATACCCAATGGAAATTCTAGCGGCTACTTGCAATGATGGTGTTCGAAACGGTGGAGAAATTGGCATTGATTGTGATGGTCCTTGCGTGAAACGATGCAATGGTCGAGCTTGTGGTTCTCCTGATCATTGTTGGAGTGGTGTCTGTGGAATCAATCAAACTTGCTTAGGTAAATGATTTTAGTGAGAGATTTCCGAATGAAGACCAGTGATATGTTCGAAACTATCAGAGTTATAAGTGGTTTGAACATAGGGTCGCAAATTTACTTAGGTTACAATCAGGGCTGCCCCGAATCAACCAACATTGGCGATGTAATGAATTTTTTGGGTAGTAGAGGTCAAGTTTTGAGAATTTGGGGGAAGGGTGTACCATTATTTTTGCTAACACAACAGAAGAAGTTTTTTGAATATTACCGAAAAAGAGCGAAAAATTTTGAGAATGAGGGCATGTTGCGCCCTCAACACCCGCCCCCCCCCCCCCCCCCCGGGGCGGAACAGCCCTGGTTACAACTTTTCACACAGTTATACTTATCTCTCTCAGCTATAACTCTGTGAATTATAATTATTCGCGTGAATTTTTACTCGTATAGCTGTGCGTCATATTCAAGGCGAAAAATACGGCGTTATGAAGTCTCAAGATACTTGTCAAAATCATGACATACACAATGGAAACTGGTGTTTTCACTATATTTTATATTCAATGAGTTTTTTTATTAAACAGATATATAGAGACAGTACTCGACATGCGCTATCCAATGGTAAAAAAGAAATTTAAATTTCATTGGATAATGTTAATATCCGACCCAAAACAAAAAGTGGGGCGAGACTTTTGACCCCCACTGTATTATCTATGTGATAAACTTTTGTTCTACTCCCTCCTCTGTGTCGTTGATTCTTGGTTCTCATCTGTCAATAATTCATATAGAGTTGCGAATCTACGGACAACGAGTTTTCACCGCATAATTATCTCTATACGACTAGACTGAGCAGGCATAACAACTTTTTGATACTGCGCCCAAAGAATAGGAAAGATATGGTTTCATCTTTTCAAGATGTTTTCTATCATGATGAAATCGTGATAATGCTGTCGAATTCACTATCTAAGAATAAAAAGCCAACGACACAATATCTCAAAAAATATATACCAAGGGGGAAAAAGCGGATCCTTTCGGATCCTAGGATCCAAAAGAATCCGACAGGATCCACAGGATCCGGTAGGATCCAACAGAATCCGACAGGATCCACAGGATCCGGTAGGATCCACACGATCCGGTAGGATCCACACGATCCGGTAGGATCCACACGATCCGGTAGGATCCACAGGATCCGGTAGGATCCACAGGATCCGGTAGGATCCAGAAGGATTCAAATGGATCCGTAGGATCCGAAAGAATCCAAAAGGATCCGATAGAATTTATAGGAATACAATACAATGCCAGTGTAAAGTCAGAAAATTAATGATTTCTTCATAATAAATTAATGATATTCGAGAACGCCTTCAACAGACCCTGGTTTATAGCGATTCTTAAAAACTTTTGCCCACGCGAATTTCATAGGTTTCGTTCGAATATAGCACTTAATGGTAAGTTAGAAAAGAAAATGAGGACTAAATTTATGATTGCTGTTTATCAGTCATTTTGACTGATGAAATTCTATTAGATCATAAATGACTTTTATGAACGCTCAATAGGGTTGCAGTCCTTCGCTCCTGTATGAAATGACGTTTGTTGTTAATAAGTTTCAGAATAACTAATGTTCATTTTAGAGACGAATGAGCGAGGATACTATTTGCGTAACCTGAAAATGATATGAGCTAAAGAGCTAAGATTTTACTAATATTTAGTCAGAACTTTGCTCTCTCTTTTTGAAATGTCGATAAAAGTCTTCAGTTCTTCTCACGTATTGAATACAGCATGAGTTTTGAAGATGAACTGAATCTAAAATAAGAATAATACGCTTTGTCGATCCAAACATAATGAACAGATAGTCTCATTGTGTGTGCATCGATCCATAAAAGACTGGGATAGGTAACTGTTTGTGTTCCAAAAAGAAAAGCATTATACTAAAATTTATTTATCGAGCCTTTTCAAAGCCTGACTGGATAATAAACCTTGCCTTTTCTAACTATTGAGGCGTGTTTGATCCCGTGAC